TTGTTGACGAAATTAGTATGAAGTTTATTACTACGACAATGTTTATGGAACTAGTAGGTATCTAATTTACATTTCACGCATTTTTTACATATGTATGTGTTGCTTTGCGATGAATAGAAATGTTGAAAAAGTGATGTTAGTAGATAAATTTAATTATTAATTAAAATAAAAAAAAATACTTGAGAAAGCAAAATTTCATGTATGCGACATACCTATACATATACTAATTATATAATGACAGAGAAATGGACACGTAAGTTGATGACAGTGAAATTCATGGTCGTGACTTCAAAAATAGCTAACAAGTCGGTATATTATGATTTTGAGTTCATTACATCTCAAAAAGTAAGACAAACGATCTAATTATTTTATCCAACACTTGTATAAATGTTACTATAATTTCTTTGGGTTTAAAGGAATAATGTGGCTTATAAGTCACTAGTGAGTTGTAAGTCATAAGTCACTAGTAAGTTATGACATATAACCCACTTATAGAAATCATAAAAAGACTATTTGGTTTATTTTTCTAGTTTTTATTAGAAAACCAATTTGAAATAGTAATAAGTCAACAAATAACCTAAAATGCTACAAACTTACAATCTACTGGTCTTCCGAATTTAGAAATTTCAATGTTCTTGTAAACTCTCAAAGTTGACATCAACATGGAATATTTAGTCCACAATGTGGATGGAGCTAATTTCTCACTTAAGATTTCTCCCAGACACTCGGTTTGCTTGTGGTAGTCGATAGTTGTAAATTATATACATACAGAATATTGGTGAACAAAAATGAATTGTGACTAAGCCGTTGCCAGCTTGAATAGAAACTGTAAATAATTTACTAATTATTTTAGAAAACATAACATAAATGGAAATATGATTTGATAATATTTATGGTAACTTAGTACTTCCTTAAAAGAGGTCCAGGGTTTAGTCTTAGTTTAGTCACATCAGGAACGTGCTCTTTGGTCTTTTTATGCCAAAAAGTATTAATGAAGCAGAGATCTAAACCCACTATATTTCCAGACACATCTTGTATAAACTAAATAAAAATCACATTTTTTCAAATATCTCTGAACATGTTTTGTTATGAAGCTTGAATTAACGATTTAACTAATTAGTTGCAAAAATTGACTGAATACAAATTTATTAACAAACAGAGCTTCATAAAAGTATTCAAGAGTCTTCAAATATTCACTATGCAATTTTTTTCTCGAAAACTAAGCCAGTCGAATTTCTACTACTTCAATCTTTACAACATATAATTTATTTAGAACTAATTGGCATTATTTTAGTTACAGTACGCAGCTAAATATGCATTCGGATATAGAATAAAGGACGCCAAAGAAGGAAACGACTTTGGACACGAAGAACGTAGAGATGGAAAAAATTTGGAAGGCAGTTACCACGTTCTGCTACCTGATGGTCGACTTCAAAAAGTTGAATATTATGCTGATAACAGCGGATATCACGCGAAAGTGACGTACGAACACTTAGCTCACGAGGAAACGAGCGCCTGATTCTGATGAATTAAAAATGTCTTTTGTTTTTGTTGTATTTTAATTTATTTTATTATTTATAGTGAAAACTATATAATATTTGTATATATCATGATTATTTATACATATGTATATTTTTTAGTATATTCTTCTGATACCTACATAATCTACGAGTATAAATTGACGTCAAAAATATCAAGGTTTTTGTTAATTTTAGGACAGTATCCCAGTTATCAAATTTCCATCTTCTATATTCGAAATAGAAATATTATCTGATTTTTTATTTACATTTTAATTTTATTTGACATGAAACATTTTTCTAGAGGACTTAACCATCTAATCATTAACTCTTAATACTATTAAGTAATGACTGTTAATCTTTACTCAAATGTTAAGGGCAAGTGCAATAATAAAAGTAACTAGTAAATATATCAAAGTTAATTATAAAGTACTTACAATAAAAATAATAAAGTATTATTTTTAGTTTCTGTATTAAAACCGTTCGGGAGTTTTTTTTTTTTAGGTCAAAATAATTACTACTTAGCCGGAAATAGAATATTACATTTATAAATATGACTAAATGTAATAAAAATGTATTTTCGAAAAGTACGCTGAAAAAAATTGTGATTATGATGATACTAAGGACATTAATAGAAAATTAGGAGAAAAATGAGTTAATAAATAAAATACCTACATATTTATTAAGTGAGTCTACTAAAACTTGAGTATCGTTTCTTAAACCCTTGACATTAATTTTTAATAAAGAGTGAGAAACAGAGAAAAGTGAAAATTCAGCTCATTGACATTCTGAACCCTCTTTTCCATACTAAAATCTAAATTATAATTAAACTTCTCTGTTTTATAGTGAAAGGAGTAAAAATTGTGAAAAGTGGGAGACCACACATTTTTATGTACCCACTTTTATATCCAAATGTTGAATTACACATTACATAATATATCTTACATTTACAACTCTCTGTGGTTAAATAAATTCAGATTTCCTTTCTCATTATTCAGTTTATTGGTGTTTTCTTCCGTTATAACTGTAATTAATTCAATATTCATAGCTCCATTCTATTATACATTTTTTGTTTTACATCAAACTATGCTTCCCCATAAATAAACCTAATCAGACATATATAATTGCATAGAATTTCTGAACAGCAAACCTCTTGAAACGTATCGAGAATGTTCGCTTCTTCTTCACAGGAAGCTCGAGTATGCTGGAAATGTCCTGAGAAGATAAATAAGGATGCAAATGGTGACGCCTTTTCAATATTTAATCTGAGTTGTTTTACTAACCATCGCTGTACTTGATAATGCTAATATGTTCATAAAATACGAGCAGATTATTAATTAGTCTTAAGCGGAAACCAGATAGTTGTGACTAGGACTTTGTGTTGGAATTTAGATTAAGTGCGGCTTCACCGGAATATTTTAAATTTAATTTAGGAAGAACGAACACAAAATTGGAATTAAGAAATCAATTTTAATATGTCAGGTATATGTTTTTATTTATTACTAGCTGTTTTCACGGGATTGTCGTGGTTCTATGTACAATTCAATAATGATTAGAGCATATATTGTTGTTTCTCGCAATATCAGCGTTTAGGAGCCTGTGGATTAGATATCTTTTATACCTCGAGTTTTATATCCAAGAACTTGGTTTAACTTCATTTGATAAGAGCAAAAAAGTAAATTTTGGAATTTGTTTGAATTAGGCTTTGAAAGAGTTCATTTTGACATCAGACCGTTAACCAAGGTAAACAATGATTTATTTATGCAAATTTTTTTCACGAAATAGTAGAACATGTTTGTTGTAGTGTCCCAATCAGTTTTTCACAACGATAGTATTCGATTGGTCTCTAATAACTACAGCCCATAACAACAGATTTCGGTACATATTAAACTGGTTTGTAACACGTTTTCAGCAATGGTTTCAGTTTTCAATGAGCCTCACGCATAGATCTTGTGGATTTCTGTTTTTGGATCGTAAACAGTGCCATAGAAATTGAAAATAAGGATGATGAATTCAGGTATTTTCCAGAGTTCGCGAAAGGTAGAACTCGTATGTAAAAATCTTGGTTTCTATAGAATTAAAAGAAAAAAGAGAATTGTTAAGTAAGATTTTCAATATGTGCATCTTGAACTTCAATGCATTATCTGAAATTGCTCAAACACTGTACTCTACACTGTACTGTATTGCTGTACTCAAAATAACATGTGGTGATTATTTCTAATGATGTCGGCGTATGTAATTGTGCGATTTAATAATTCTCCCCTACTATTTATAGGAGTTTGATAAACAAGACATTCAAGATGAGCCCAAAGAAAAAAATAGAGAGGATTAAAATCGGGAGACTGAGGCAGCCACGGAAAAGGACTACCATCGATCGGGAAATGTGGTATTTTAATAAACCCTTACTGCCTTGCTAAAATGGGGTGGTGCACCATCGGGCATAAGCCACATATTATTTCAAATATTGAAATGGACCTCTGCCAATAATGGGTCAAGGTGATGATATTGAATCAACAAATGGTGTCAAAATGATTTATGACAAATATCTAACTGCTACATACTTGTTGACAGTTATCTGAATTTCCAAGATTCTTTTAAAAATGTTAATATCGCATTTTTGATACAATAAATGTATGTTGATTAACAACATTTGACATTGACTTGACCGAAATGTGACTTTGTAGGTCTAAGCTATCCCCGAATTCAGTTCCTCCCAAAAAAAACTTATATACGCAATGGTTGAAATTCAATACAAACCTTTTCTTTAGTTTGATTTTGAAATGACCTTGAATTGACTTGAAGGTGACCCTTAAGGTTACGCTATCTCCAGATTCAGATTCTGCGAGCCCAAAAACCTATACACTCATTGGTCAAAATTCAATACAAGTCTTTTCTTCAGTTTGACCTTGAAACAACCTTTACCTGACCTCCAGGTGACCTTAGATAGCTCAGTTATCCCCGAATTCAGGTTCAGCGATCCCAACAGCATTGTACCTACTTGTCAAAATTCATTACCTGCTTCAGTTTTTGAATCCATCAACTTGAAACTTCGTGAAGCTTACTCAGTCCTACACCCAAAATCACATACTTCCCTCCTCTTTATCTCTGAAACTATTCATTGGATCTCTTTGGGCTCATGACAACTTTGGATCAGAAAGTCAAAAACTATAACATACTGCAATTTCAAGATCGACTGGGACCCATTTCCATTGATTTTGTGCGAGGTTCTTTCATTGTTGTCATAGTAACGACTTAAAAATTATAATTGGAAATTGTTTTCAAACTTCCTTCTTTGAAGGCGAATAACTCCACAAAGAAGCTCGATAGGATTTTTTTTTGTTTATGAAGTACTACAACTATTTTGAGCTCCCCTGTATACCCCTTCATTTTTGACATGACCTTTCCGGACACCCTGTATATTATTTTTAACATTTAAAAAGGAAAGCAGGAAATTAATAAAATATTTATTTTTCAGACTAGCCATTACAAAAAATAAATTATCTTATAATATATTTTTCGTTGGTATATTTACAACTCCTTATTTTAGCTTTGGTGCAAATTTTGTACAATAATTTTACAAATTTAACAATGTTTTATATACATTTAATTACATATTTTACACTTTAAACAATAAACTGTTGGTTTCTTTATCACAAAACTATTCCCCATTATAAATTTACATCACAAACTCATTTACACAGTATTAGCAGTAGAAAGGCTAGCATTGCTGATAACCTCACTCCCGGTGAATGGATGGCAGCCGAGTTGTCTAGAAAGGAAAAAAATAAAGTGTTACTTACATGCATACACTGTCAAACGACAAGCCAAAAAAACTATAATGAAAATGTTGCATGTAATGTTAGTTTTGTTAACTACATATTATGACTCCAGGGTTACCGCTATGCAGAAAATCAAACACTTGGGAATAACAGGAATACTCAGAATTTTTTCAGAGCTATTTTTAAAACAAGTCGTTAACACCGAGGTTAATTCACAATACGTAGCCACCTCTGATACAGAGTAACATAGATTATTATAATCAATTTTGAGAAAAATATTTCACTTAATGTTTCAGTATTCTCACATATTCTTAGGCCAGAAAATGCGAAAAATTTCGTACTATGTGTTTGTTATGCTCTAATAATATACGGTTGTCCTAAATTATCAGCCGGTTTTTTAACACGAGAAATAAAGGAATACTTTTATTAAACTATCTTCCTAAAATTGATATGTAATAATAGAAATATGCTCCTTTAAAAATTCACCGCAGATATCATGTTTTTTGCGATATTTTAAAATTAGATCCAGATATCTTATTTTTTAGACTTAGGGCATCTGAAAGTGATTGGCATTTCAACGCCACCGCAATTATCTAAAACAGTTCGATTCACCAAAAGTAAACAAAACTAGGTACTGGTTTCTTCCTAGTCGTTTTGTTATAAAGAGATTTCGAATTTCATTAAAAAATACAGGGTGTTCCATTTAAGTTAACAAAGTTATAACTCTTTGAAGATATCAAAATGTACAGTCGAAAATTAAACACTCGGTATCATATGTTCTAATTTATGGATATTGTGTAAGGTTGTTCCATACGTGTTCTACTCACATACCGAATCTCAAATTAATAGCTAATTGCTGGATTAAAATACAAAGGATCCCGCACATCCTTGCGTCTGTCAAATTTTTCATAAAAATGTCAGTATCTCAAAAATTATAAATTTTAGAAACTAGTTTTATTACACAAAGTGACCATAAAATTCCAAATAGAATCCAAAAAGATAAAAATATATAGGGTGTTTCATTTAAAATAACGAAGATGGCGTCGACTTCCGGTATGAACGGAACTGCTGTGACCTTGAAAATATTTTAGTTGTGTTGCCCCCAGTGACTTTGACAAGCTGCCAAATGTTCAAATTTTTCAAATATGTACTTTTCCAAATATCGGTCGCGGCGATTCCCGGTGGGATACACTGTACATATAAGAAGATTTATAACCACCCTGTATATTATTTGATATAAAACTTTGTTGTATGTAACACATAAGAATAAAGAAAACTGTAAAAATCTTCGACTCACATTAAATGCAACAGAATAACACAAAATTTCGACAGCATACGGTCAATACATGAAAGTAATGAACATCTGACATTCCCATACCAAGTTTGTTAATAAACACTACATATTATACAAATCTGTTCCTATACCTTCCGTAATGTTTGTACTGTAGAAATACTCTTCAGTTGAGGTAAAGTTGGTCATATTCCAATACACTTCTTCATCTAGATCATATTCTTTTATCTCGACTGTATAAAATTAGTATCACATTAGGGTTAGAATTTTGTTAAAAATATTAAACAAATTGAGAACTTCGCTTCTAACTGCTTTTGTAAGCTCTTTATGCATAATAAAGAAAGATGGGTACTTAGAAGATTTAATAACTGTTTTGAATTTGAAAATATTACAATAATCTCTTAATCGTTGTTTTTAATTTGTAAAATAAAAAACTAAAAACGAAGTTCCACTTTAAATATGTTACGTTGTCTAAATTTTGTGTTTATGTTTTGCCATTATTGACTTTAGAATATTTTTTTGCAATATAAATTAGTTTCCACTTTTACATTAACTAACAATGTACTCATAAAGACCTACAAACTTTTATATTCACTCATTTCATTTAGCAACGATGCAGTAACTTTACACTTTAGATCAATAGTAATAAAATACTTGAAAATGGGTTTACGTGAAATTCAACAGAAATAAAATCCTACATGTATCAATTCTTTTACATTGCAAATTGTAAATCTATTATATCAAGGTTAAGTTCTATTATTAACGTAAATTCTTGGTGACTAGAAGTTATACTTTTCGCAAAGAGAAAGAAAAATAAACAATAGCGTCAATTTTCTTTTCGATTAACATGAATGAAAGACAATAATTTGCAAAAGTTTATTTGACGTCGCAAAGAATCTTTTGTGCTATCCTGAATTGTAAATACTGTCGCGAAACTAAAAAACTAAAAACACCATGAGGAAGTGACGTAAGTGTAACACAAAATGACATCAGACTGCAACCAAAATTGTTTCTGTGATGCCGCTCTAGAAAATGTCTGTTTCCGATAACTTTTTAACTCGTTGACTGTCAGCAGAAGTTTTTGACGTTTTTTACTCATATTTTTACAACTCTTTAAGTTGTTTAGAGACGAATAGAGATGAAAGTGACGAAGAAAACATTCTGTATGATATTAAAGTAGTAACTCCTGCCGCCAGTGATGAATTATTACCAATGAAATCCAGGAAAGCTTACCAAAGGCATATGAATCTTTCGAATAAGGGTGCGAAAAAAATTAAATGGTAGCAAATGAAGATGTTTTGCCGCTAATTTATCTGCAATATCAAACACGCTTCAGTCAGTCAAGTGTATGGAGTCTACATTCGATGCTTAAAACAATGTTAATAAGAAGAACATTGATATTAGCAAATTTCCGAAATTAATGCCTTTTCTAAGGAAAAATTATGCTTTAGTAGACAAGAAGAAAACGAATTTTTAACGGAAACGTCGAATCATGATTATCGTGTTAATATTTTCTATAATTATAAGTGGTTACATTCGAAATTTTAACATTTGTCCAAAAAAAAAAAACAACACACATTATACCTGTTTGAGTGCACTGAACAGAAAATGTTTCTTGAAAATAACTACGTATCTAAAATTACACTATCCAACAGAATTTTTGATGAGATAAAATTTGTAGAAACATCGTTGTCATACTCGGCATAAAATTTCATTTAAAATATAGTCGAATGATGTATATTCTGCATCCAAAAAGGTGGAACGTTTACAATTTTTTATGCTTATATTTTCTCGTTCACCATTGCCCCAGATGTACTTAATAAACTCTATGAAAATGGAATTAGCATCCTTACTTGGACCAGAGATGTTTTAGTTCGGTAAAAGTCAACTTATAACAACTTTAAAAAAATAGACTTTGTTTAATTAATTTTATGTCATTAATTAGATTATTACCTCCTTGATATATCACAGCTTTCTCTTCCAAGTAGTCGGTACCGGGTATGGTTAACTCACATACAAATTTTGTATTTCTTGGAAAATCTTCTAGATTTGGAAAGAAATAAATTGCAGTAAGGTTGTAATATTCGTTCTCATCCAAATTATACTCTATAAAATTTTCTCCAGTACTGTTTGATATATCTGTTTTATTGTTTCTGAAACAAACAGAAAATGCTCATATTATTTTATGAATGGTCTAAATAGTATTAACTACTTAGAACAGTCGATACGATATTTGTTGAGATAGAATTTCAAGAAGACCCCTGCGTCACTTTCTTGGAATTAAGCGCATTCGACACCCGAGGTAGGAAGACATTGGCGGCGTGGCGTTCACCGTAGCAGCTTACAGTGGTTTGCAATTACGAAGCCGTGTTTCTTCTCTATCAACAAATATTGTACAGACTGTATTATCTTTAATATTACTTATTACTATTATCTACGTACCCTTCATACAAGTAAATGTTCATTTCAGGTTTCGGAAAAACTCCAGAAGTGGAACAGCTCACTATTTTTTCGTCTTCCATTAGAGTTGCCTCTAGCCCAGATTGCGCAGGAACTGAAACGAAATGGTAACATAAAGAGAAATAAAAAGTGTAAACTGAAAAGATTTGTTGAAATTGGAGACTAAAACTGTAAATGTTTGTTCAAGCATTACACAATTATTTTAAATTTAGACAGTACAATTTTAAGAATTACATTAAAAAAATTGGTGTAATCCAATTTTCAAATATTTCCTTGAAATTTATGATGCGTTCATGTTCTTCACCAAAAATATACTTAAAATTTCCAAATCCACTTTGGTTGGAGGCTTTCCGGATGCGCGTTTCTCATGTAAATCATTTTTACGATTACGTTTTACTAAAACGATAAGTTATATCGAATTAAATTTTTTTATTATGAATTAATAAAGCTTCCAAGTAAACTAAATTTGGATATGACTGACTGAAGATTGTGAAAATTCATTACAAGTACGGAGAGTGTGTAGCTGAGACTGTGTGCAAATTAGATACGTGGAATTTTCAGTAAAAGGAATGCCCGATTGAAACAGGTTAAATTTTTTAGAGTGTCATAAAATTGAAAAAGAATGAGGTTAAATAGTGAGTCACATATCTTTTTAAATATGTACGATAGTTGACAAAAAATTATACATCTTGTATAAATGTGGTCAGAAACGGTGCATGCTACTTTACGAATTGCACACTGGAATAATAATTCCACAAAAGATACAATTTCAAATTTCTTTGTCAGAAATTAACGAAGGGTAACGAGGTGGCACGCGCTAAAATATAACATACCTGCGTAACAAAAGAGTTTTATGCTGCAGTGAAAACTACGTACATACAGAGTGAATCACTGATAAATAAAGAAGATTAGGTGTTAATATGTTTCTTGTCTACTAACTTTTGCTTCTAACTGAGGCTATTAAAGGTTACGAAAATCGTACAATAGCTACCTATTCGTAGAAAATACGTCAATTTATTGCATAAATAAGAAAATAGGATTCAGTTATATATTTTAGGTCTATTTATACACATCAGTGCCGTGTTAATCCAGTATGAGCGTCAGTTAAAAATAAAATATCTTTTAATTATAGTACGTCGGCAATATTTGTGTATTTTTCATTGATGAACTCATGCGACTCAATGTTTTTCCTTTGTCATATGTTGATTAAAATGGATGAAAAATTTATCGAGTCGGTACGGAATTTTCAACTATATGTATGCTTTGTCACAAAAAACAAACATGGATACCAGTTTTAAAAATAATATTTAGAATGATATAGGAAAAGAATGAAAGTAGATTGTAATTTTATTTTCAAGTATCTAGATCTGTACATTTTCATTCAATTTCATCCATACTTTTGAAGCGTGGCCCACTCGCTCCCGAACATCCTGTAGATGCTTCAGCATTAAAGTGTCATCGGCCAATTTGGGCTCAAATAAGAATTCAACAGTACCTAAACGGTATTTCATTTCAATTTATTTGCTCGTCAGCACAATATAAAACATTGTCAGCTGACGCTGCTTAGAGATAATGGTTGATTTAAAAAAAGTTATTAACTCTTTTATTACAACAGTCCTGCAAGTAAACAAATGAAACGTTGCATACCTTTTTGATAAGCACATGACGAATTATGCTAGGGTACATCGGTATAGATGAAAGAATTTATCTAGTTAGTGCAGATATTTCAAAATTTATTTTAATGAGTTTTGTATAAAGAAATACACTAGGACAATTTATATGAATAATAATAATTATTTATCTTAGGAAAACAATCAATTCATTTTTTTTTCAATTTGACTTCATTCTAATTTGTTTTGTTTATATTAATTTCATCTCCCAAATTTTTAATATATTTGATCAAAACTATAGACATTGCCTAGCGCCAAAATAAGAAAAAAAACTTGTAAGAGTAACATGCATACCTAATGTATCTACATTTCTACTAATTCAGCTGATAACTAAATACTTATATTTTCTAGAGATTACGTACTTACTATAAACAATAAGTTGCTTCGTCTTGGTGTCCTCACTGAGGTAACTGCTCACTTTGCAAGTGTAGTTTCCTGTTAAATTCATGTTAACATCAAATATCCTCAGGGCTCTATACCTTGTATTCGAGTCATTGGTCGCAACATATTGAACATCAATGTGGTCTTTTAGTTGGCCCATAGCGTACCCAGGTTTATTAGAATCTGGTATCCACTGATAGATCACTTGGTCGTTTCCATTGTAAAACCATTTTATTTCCAGATCCCTTTCATCGGTCGCCTCGAAATCGCAGTCTAAGATTACATCTTCCGTGCTTCCATATTCCACGGAATTCGGACCTCTTACTTCCGTGATACTAAGTGCAGCATATACTGAAACAAATTTATATATTTTAGGCAGCTTTGTCTATTACACAAGGTGACCCTGAAAAGCATCGATAATTCTTGACCTCAGGTTCCTTGGATCAAAATAAGACCATTTAGCCTTATTATTGGTAATTTTTAAAATGGTTCTGTTATATTGAACGCATAAAATTATTTGGAATTTCACCAAACGAGATTACCCTATCTGCTTGAAGAGTTACCGATAGCACTACGAATTAATATGATTTTTATATAATGGGGCTTCTCTCAATTTTGCTTTATCCGTATGGCAAGAAGGTAGATGAACACTATCCTAACAGGTGGATAGGTAAAAGAAATAATGACCCGTTAAAATGGCCACCTCAATCCTCGGACCTAAACCCGTGTGATTATTTCCTTTAGGGAGCGTTGAAGACCAAAGTTTATAGCTTTTCAATAAATACAGAAAACGAATTATGGGAAAGAATACAAAATGAAATTAATGTTATGAGAAATAATGTACAATTATTCGATAAAATTCATTTTAATTTCCTTAGAAGAATAAATGCCTGCGTTCAAGAGCAAGTAGTTCACTTTGAGCATTTACTATAAAAATGTGCAGTTAATTTTGTTTTTTTAACGCGAAGCATTTTCATTATTATTCCCTGCTTTGTGACTGCAGTTATAAATTATTTTTTAGTAATCTGAATTTGTGCCTACATTTAATGTATAAAAATGCCAATTTTCCTCGAAATCCAAAAAGATATCAAAGTTTTGTAGAGGCAAAAAGTCTTCTAAAATTGTCCTTATTTTTAAAAATATAAATTCTGGCCTCACAAAAATGTTACGGCATAGCCAGTGGGCACAGACACTAGAAACAGAACATCCTGTGTATGTATTCTCACTAAACTCTATATTTCCATTGCCCTTATATAAAAATACATGTGTACCAAATTTGAAATTTCTAAGCAAAACAGTTTTCAAATTATTTGAAAAAAACTAGGTCATCTGTTCTATATTTAGAAGGTTTATATCTCAGTAGGCGTGAACTTTTGTATATAGGTAAGTTAGGCTAAATAGGCTTATTTTCATGCAAGGAAGCTTGATCAAGCGTTGCCCATACTTTTCAGGGACACCCTGTACAATTAAAATGGGTTGTAAAATTGTTTAAAAATGTGGTATTTACATTTACTTGTAAGGAAATAGCCAAATACAAACAATTAAGTGTAATTATATGTTATCTATAATAGAAGTTTACTAGCGCAAGAAGTAGTTATTAACACGTTAAAGACTCTAGAAAGAATTTTTCCGTAAAAAAATGGGGCTTAAAAAAACTGGGTCTTATTGACCCTAGTGTGAATTTTCTTTTAAAGTGCTGTATTTATTTATTTCTCCTTGTGTACATTTTAATTTTTTTAGTTTGCTTACGTTTATCATGATGCTAAAAAGGAATAAGTTAATGCCTCTCATTGTTATTTAGCCCCAGTAGACTAAGCGGAATCGTTAGATTTAACTGAAATAAAGTGCCATATGGTCTCGTTTGTGGGAATATCAGATATCAAATTTCAGTTTAACATACGGTTTAATTACAAAAAATATCTATCGGATACCTTTCGTGACAAATAAGCTGTATCCTGTTGTTATCTTTTAAAAACTATAAAAAATTAATCAGCAAATTTGTTAGGGAGATGAAAATAGGTGACTAATAATATAAAGATTACACATATCTGAATTTTCCATGGAACCAGGTGCATAGCTATATTTAATTTAAAAAAAGTATGTTTGCAGCACCAGTATAATAAAAAACACCAAAATATTCCACGACGGTTAAACAGATGCTTGGAATACTTTTGCCAGCACACCACTCAACATTTCAGTCAACTGTAGACTTATTTTTTGTTTGCTGATTTGAAGTATAATTCGATATTCGTTATTGTCGAAATTGCGGGACTCCCTGAAGGATACTAAAATTAACCACCAGTTACCGCGAGTTACAGTTGGACCATTGCCATGATTATAAATAAACTTGCAATTTTTACAGATTTATTCGTTCCGTGATTTCATTAACAGTCCGACCACCAACCAAATGTTTACATTTTCATATTTGAGGTGGGTTTATACCAAGCTAATTAAAGAACTTAATGGGGTGCTAAAAATACGTTTTGGTTAATGTACTAGTACCTCCTGCAACAATTTTATCTGTTTGTAAGTTCAAAAAGAACGCCACCTTTTATTAGGATTAAAAGTACAACGATTTTCATCGTAAAATTAATACAGATTGGCAGGAAACATCTTGTAAGATATACTTTGATTTCTAACAAAAAAAATGACTAAAATAAAACTACATATTATGCTTATCGGAATCCGTGCAAAACCATATTAATGGATATATCTCAGTGTGTATTTGCTTCTCATATAACCCCAGGAAAATGTGGCCATACAGCGATCACTTATTTCTGACATAAAAACAATTAACAGAGAAAGCTGCCTCAACAGCTGCGTACCAACCTGGAAAAAAATAGCTAATATTGAGAGAAACCTTGAAGAACCTAGGCAATAGAATATCAAAAAGTTCATTGAAACTGATAAAAGTTAAGAAAGTTGCCCTACAAAGTGTTGTACAAGAATCGATATCAGGCACAACAAGGATGAGACAAGCAATGACAGTTTCAAAAAGCACCATGAATAAAGCACATCTTTTTAAGCGTCAACCTCTTCAACCAGCGCAAGACCTATTGGAAGTGGGTTTTATAGCTTGATACCTTTTTGCTTGTACTACTAATAAAGTTACGTTTTACCCAAAGAAAATTTTAGAGGTATACATCAAAGGCATTTTCAACAAGAATTCAAAATTAGGATAGGTGTAAGGTTTCTCACCAAATTTCTGTCAAGAAATTTGGTTTACATACGATTGTGTACCTATACGGTTCTCACAAAATGTATGAAGACTTTTTAATAATGTATGTCCAGGAAATTGGATTAGTACAGGTGGATACGCACTTTTCCTTAGTAGCCAAAGCAGCCGGATTTAAATCCATATGACTTTTTTCTTTGGGGAGTCCTTAAAATGGAAGTTTACAAAACAAAAAATGAAAATGGTGGTAAATTATGGAACAGTTTAAACGCAACTGGTGCTCTTCGTGATGTAACAGGTATACGTTTCAATTTTCTATGTAAAATAAGAGTTGCTTTACAGTAAACGACAATTATTTCGAACACTTGTTATAAAAACTTTAATTTTACTTTTTATTATATCGTTTTTGGTTATTTGGTGTAGAACCAGCGGTATTACAGAGACACACACACATGGGTTACTTCTTTAGGTACTTTTATATAAAACTGTTTGTAAAAATTATAACGACTTCATAAGTATATGAGACCATTCAGAAGCAGAAACTAGAAAGATCCCAAAAGATAATATTTATATAATCCTTCCAAGTCATTGATTTGTATCCTTAAAGGAACAAAAAAGCTCACATAAACATCGTTGTAAAGATCCTTCGTTCTCCATATCAGTAATCGATTTGGTATTTTAAGCTTCAATTTTTTTCGGAACATCAAACTGAAGATCTTTCTACTTGAAATCTAGCAATGTTGAGAACAATTAATAATTGACAAAAGGCATTATTGGTGAGAAATATAGAGATAATTAAGAAATTCCGTCACTTTTCTTAAATGATCCACAAGTGTGGAATATATTTTCAAAAAAGAGAGTCGCAGGTCCTCATGTACGCCACCGAAGAAAGAAATTAAATGTTTGAAAATTATTTTTATTGTTTTGCGATGCGCTTACAACATGTATGAAATTAGATTCGGATAAATTTAATATCAACGCGTAACTTTTAAACGAAGCATTTTTAGACTCGGGTAAGTTACCTCAGAGTCTGCGGTTGCTGTATGACCAGTGTTTCTTGGGACACCCTGTAGTTTTTCAGTTTTTGATTAACACATGGTAATACAAATTGTGTTTCAAAATACAAAAATGCTAAGAATTGTTTTATTTTATTTTATTTGTCTTGTTCGCGGTCATTGTACCTTTTAAACTACTTACGGACCATTATTTCTAAAATAATCTTCATAATTGAATTATAAGTACATAAATAATTTCAGACGGACTGTAGCCTTCTAATATTGGACACGCAGGCAGCATATGCCACTTCATTTCCGGTCAAAATCATTCAGTTTCCGGTATCTACGGTCTGTGATCATACACTCATATGTGATTTTACCCAACTTCCCCTAAAGGGAACTGTTACAATGTAAAGGAAATTCGTGCACTTGTAACTGCCATTTTTGTTTAATTTTTATGGATGTGTGTTTATTGTTATTATTTGAAACTAATTAATGTGCAAAATCAATTAGTTTCATGACGTCCCTTGTTGTCATATATTTCGTAGCTATCTGCTTACATAAATAATCACGTAAATGGATTTGGACTTCTTCCGAAAGAGCTAAACAGTAAGGTATTTGCAGGTGTGAACTAATAGTAAGATAAATTTTGTAAACATGGGGTTGATTTTTAAGGTACTGGTTAAAGCTTGATGGCTAGACTGCGAATAATTTCACATGTGGCACTCACAGTCTAATCATACAATTAGTTTGACTGAAACTCAAAATATTGGTCCAAAATATAACAAAAATTCTTTCCGTGGAGTATATTTGTTCATTGTACGGCGAAAAGATAAAAGAGATTGAAGACAAACCTATGTGCACAACAACAGACGAAAACGTAGAGGACTTTCTAATAGGTGTAAGAAATTTATAATGTCATGGTGACAATATGGCTTGAAACGTCAATTGCAGACATTTACAACTGTGACAATTTATCATGAGATATACAAATCAGACAAATCAGCGCGTAGAATTGATTGCATTTCAAAATAAATTAAATTGGAAAACCCTTTTCCTTCACATAAATTGACCTTATTGATAAATGTTAAACATTTTTGAATATTGGGTGTGACCTCGAATATGTGATATGTCATTGTAAAGATATTCCTACAGATACTTTGCAATACAGAGCAGGGAAA